GTTGAATTTTTTGTTTTGTTTTATATTTTGGTTTATCATTGTTTGAAATATTTTTTTAAAAGGAGCAGACATAAGATTTTTTTCTTCTGCTGCCTTTCATTTCATTTTATTTGTATTGTTTTGTTGTGTGAAATGTTTTGTTTGTTTTTTAATGAAATGAAAAAATAAATTATCTGTAATCAGTTCTTCCTCAGCTGTAGTTCATCATCCTCATTCCTTCTGTGTATTTATACTGGTCTCTTGTCACTGTTTCCTCGCTGTCTCGTGTCTCCCTGCGTTCCTTGAGGTTTTGTTATTTTGCTGCCTCGTCAGCCCTTTTGTTTGGTTAAATAATAAAAACCTTATTTTATTCCTTTGAGCTTGCCTGCCTTCATTTTGGGTTCAACTCCTGCCTCAGAGCTTGACAAAAGAGGAGCTGCTTTCTAACTCTTTAACTGGAGTTCTGTTCTGTAGATATGATCTAAGATCAGTTCTTGTCAAAAGAACAGAAAGTTCGGAGACAGACTAAAAAGCGGAGCTGTGACATCATCATTGTGCGCCTCAGTTCAGAAACAGACCAGAGCTAAAGTTTTTACTGCAGTTGATGAGAAGAATCGAGATCTGAGCTCCACGGTTGAACTTTGTGTCGTGCATGCTCTGAACTCAGGATTAAGAAACTCAGAGTTACCCCCCCCCCCCCCCACACACACACACACACACCTTCAGGATGGTCTCCAGGTGAACAGTCCGATGCTCCAAAGCTTTCAGCTCCTTCTCACAGCAGCTCTCACTCTGCAGGCTTTTCTTCAGCTCCGTCACCAGGACCCCCAGTCTGAGGGCCAGGGTCCGGCGCTGGGCCCCGCTCACCCCAGACCTCCCTGGGCTCGGAGCCTCTGCTGGGGAGGAGGAGGAGGAGGAGGCAGCAGCTGAGAGCATGGGGCCGTCAGGAGGATCCTAAAATCAAACATGATCTAAATAAAAACTCGTCGACTTACGAAGAGTTTATAGATAGGTTATTAATTCATCTGTAAACACTTTATAAATCATTAATAAATGTTTTACACAATAATTAAGGAGGAGAAAGAGACAAAAATGTCCAGTTTCTTATCAAATAATGAGACAAATCTGTTCATGTACATATTACATCTGAAGGTGCTTTTTAAACATTTCATACTAGGTTACTACCTTGTAAGCACAATAAT